GTTACGTAAAGTACATGAACTGGTCGTTATTTAATAGCTGATAATAGAGGGCACATTCAGATGGATAGGCTCTATATATATTCAGCGTGTTTTGTCGCCATGGGAACTGATTCAAAAATTCTATGGTGGTGATCGGAATAGATATCATTCGATCGCATTTCTGTGATTATAGAAAATAACTTGGGATATCACGTACAAATAATTAGCAAGCTTCCATATGTCAAGGATTATCAAAATTGCAGATAAATGTGTTAATTACTTGGATCACTAACCAGCATGTTCCCGAAGCAATGACTGCGAGTTTAACAACATCTAGCCGTTGCTAGATTAGTCGGTAATTCCCAAACTTTTAGGTGCGTTATCTCCCTTTACTACAGACACGTGATACAAACACATAAAGGAATAGATTCATTTACAGCCGTTGAAAGTTTTTTTTTTATTAAGTTGAAAAAACTTACGGAAGATCAAAGACATGTTACTAACTAACATAATGGAAGAACAAAAAGTAAATTAGAAAGGTTCGGACTAAGATGTGAAGTGGGTCATAGCATAATCATAACCGATTAACAGAAGTTCCAGCAACCTTGACATTGAACGAACCCTGAAGTTTGCAACTCGATTATCACAACTAGACATTTCAGTTGGAAAGCGTGCAACTTGGTATTTTCTATCAAGGAATCTGAAAGGTCCCCAGCTGGGTCAGTAACCAATGGAAATTAGTGACGAAAAATGTAGGGTATTACGTGAAGGGCTTGATAAGCCTCCCATTAAAGATAACTAACCAGTGTGGACAGGGTTCGAGTCCTGTGTTGGCCGAGTAGGTTCCTGGGGAATGTGCAGGGTGGGATATATACACTGTAGTCTTTCGGGTTGGGACGAAAATCCGAGGTCCTGTGCATATTAAAAGGGTAGGCTGTAGCACGGCAGTCCCGGTAAAAGTTCCCCATCGCACACTGTATGGCGTCTGTCTGCCTTCATTATCCCAGTGCAGAAAAGCAAGCCGTTCAGCCCCATTTCATATGTTTGTATAAATGTTATTTATCTTGTCTACAATAACACTATCAAGGTTACAGTTCTCATTATCACACAATGACGTGTTCAACAGAGTATCATGATGTCAAGTGCAGAGGCGTGAACAGGATGCACACACCTTTATACCGACACCTATTTACTAATAATGTGGTTTAACGCACCTAAGCTTGTGGAAGCCACGGTGATTCAATGGGTAGGACGTTGGCTTGCTAACCTGGAAGTTCTATGTTCGATCCATGTGTCGACCAAGTAATTTTATCAGGATGGGACAAAAAACCGAGGTACCGTGTATACATTTGTGTGCACGTAAAAGATTCCTTGGCAGTTGAAATTGTGCAGGACGGAGGACGTGGCAAGGGACAACGAATAGTCGTTCGGATGGAACGAAAAACCAAGGTCCCGTGTACATATTGGAGTGCACATAAAAGAACCCTATAAGATTAGGCCGTTGAGTATGGCCTGGTGTGCACGTCTTCATTTGCTCAGTCGAAGCAGAACAGTAGGATGTTAAACCTCAGCCTGGCTTTATTGAACAACAGCCGAAAAACAGCAAGTAACAATAAATAAGATCTTTGCACAGAAGATACCTTTGTTGTACTCACGTACACCGACTATAATTACTAAAAGGAGCAACTCCCTGGGTAAACTCTTATGCGCATGTGTTTAAATAATGTTTCAATTCAAAATATTAAACATACATTATGCAAGAGATAAATCTGCCTATTGCAGGTCTTTCTTTAGGCCTGAAATGTTATCTAAATTATTAATTAGACATTAATTAACCTATCCAGGCCATAATCAACTCTAGATGGCATCGGTAGCCTACGATTTTAGTGGATTATGAGCCGATTTACTGCATAACTTTCCTTCACGATTTAACGGTTAAATGGATAATCGAGACTATACGGTTTTTCGTACTGACCTTAGTAATGATGATCGAGGCTAGGCGGAAATTTCAATCGCTAAGTTCTCGGTTCATAGTGGATCAATTTGAATGAAATTTTCAGCAAATTGCCTTTACATTATCTAGTTTTTAACTATTATAGTGAGAACTACCAGCTTTTTATCTAATCGAGAGTTGATTATGGTCTGGATAAGTTAATTAATGTCTAATTAATAATTTAGATAACATTTCAGACCTGCAATAGGCAGATTTAGCTCTTGCATAATCGTTGTTTAAACATTTTTATCCACTAGAATCTGGGACAGTTCCTTTAACCTGAACTAGTTCGTAATCACCGGTTCGTGTTAATACTGTTATACATATAGAGTAGATTGTGACATATTCCATAGCAACCAGGGATCTTATTTTACAACGTAAAAAATCGATTTTATTTTCTACCAGAACCTAGTTACTAATGTTTTCTACCATTATTCAATTCGGAAGTAAGTTTGAATCCCGTTTAATGGATTTATGTATCACTAATGTCTTCTGTTTTGTAAGATCTACATTTGATAAAGAATCTACACATTAGTAAACAGAACTATCAAGTGTTGTCCCACCCCTTTCACCTGCTAACGGATTAACCCTAAATGGACAAGTCACGTTTGGCCTATACTAAAATTTTAACCAATACATATAGGTCGTGCTGGCTTGTTTATCGTCAGGAGTGAATGCCGAATGAACATATGTAATTGTTATAAATGAAATGAAATGTTCGTGTTCGGCTCCGACTGGACTAATGAACGGACAGCGGCGCTACGGCCTATTCTGATATCGAATTCCAACTGTGAAGGGATCTTTTACGTGCACGCCAAAGTGTACACGGGACATCGGGTTTTTATCCCATCCGAACGACTAGACAGCTTCCCTTGCCAGGTCCTGCACCAATGACAAGGGGAAAACACGCCGGAAAATCCCGATAAACTTTCTCGGCTAACACCGGTATCGAACCCGATAGCGAGCCAACGTCTTACTCACTTAGCCACCATGGCTCCCATATGTTGTTATAAAGTGTGTTATGAGGGAAGTTTTCCCAGGGCGCCGGCGTCTCCGACTACTCAAATTATATCACCTCGGTTTTCTAACCATTTGAGCAACTAGACGTCCTTCCTAAACCAGTTAAATATAAGTTGTTTCAATTGAACTGGTAATACACAGATTCTATGGAATCCAGTAGACGTGGTACAAGGGTTAATCAGCGAACTGGATGTATGAGATGTGTTGTTGACGTTTGGGAAAGTAGGACGAGGGGAAATGTGTAGGGAGTGAAGTGCTGTAAAGGGATAGTTAGATGTATTATGAATGGTTAGAGTGGCTGTGGTGTTACGGTGAAATACTATGCCGCCACCGTAACACCACAGCTTTATGATTTGTTAGACAGGAGTGATGTAATGGGTGTCAACAACTGGGTATGCTGGTACCGTCGCAACGTAGCCGTGAAATATATATTGGGGGGGGGGGGAAGGGCGGAAACGGAAAAATATACAATGTTGACAGTATGTGCCAGGCATGAGGCTGCGCAGACCGAGCGGCAGCTCGATAGGGAGTGTGTGGGAGGGTCACCCTCATAAAAAAATTTTTTTTTAAATTTCAGTTTTCTGTAAGCAGTGAAAACACTATTTTGGCATTGTTTGCGGGGTTAAACCTAAAAATCACATTAATACACCTATTGCACGATATTGTGAAACTAGCTGACGAAGACAGCTCGGGCGGCGATTGTTCGACTCGGGGCTGCTCTGTCAGTATCTAACAAACGCATTTAGTTGGCGTACAACTTTTAAAAACCGAATGTCAGTATGGTATTTCTCACATAATTGGTTATCGCAAAAACAGAGTAAACTGAAAGCGAGTAATCTCGACTCAAACCTATAGTCTATAGCCTACTTACTACACACGTCACTAGGCTTCAGACACATCCATTTGACGAAAATAAACACTAAAAGAATCCACATCAACTTTAACACGTTTTAGGGAGAGAGAGAGAGAGAGAAATGGGGTTTAACGTCCACTCGACTCAAACTAGGTCATTTCGGGACTAACATATGGTTTTAATTTTATTTCAATAATTCGCTTGCGCGTAGGGGTCTTTAGCCGTGGGAGGAAACCGGAGGACCCGGATAAAACCCACGAGGTTGGACAGCGCGCGCACGTGCTAACCATTCGAGCCAGTGCACCCCCCCCCACTCCTTCAGGAACTTTATCGAAGTATTGTTTACGCTATACAAATAATGTGTTGATTTATTGATTGATATTATTGATTGATAGTTTGAATTATTTAAATAATTCACAATTTCACTTAGATAACATCACATTTTTTATTAACTTTACAACATGAAATCTATACGATTATTAGATTTATGTCCCTTTACGAAAGAAAAAACACCAAAAGATTTATATACAGCTTCAAAAACACGTTACATTCATACACGGCTTTGAAAAACCTATAAGTCTAACGTTTATGACATTGATCATTTCAATTTTAAATCGTTCTATATATCAATACTACTACTATTATGTTTTTATCTTTCCATTTCTCACTTTACGGAATTTTCAATTACATTTGCATCATAAATCACGACGAGCAATAATTTACCCTAACAGATTTAAATTTTCCACAAAAGACAAATGTTGTAATAAATTACGCTTTTTTTTATCCAATACACAATCGATTCCATAGTGATATATGTATAACATTCTCTTTAATCAGAAATTGAAACATTTCTCTTTCTTCAAATAGATCTTCACAGATTTTAACTTTTAAGTCAATTACGTACAAAACGTCGAATCCAGGGAATTGGATCAGCGAAAAGAATGATAGATTATGATTTCAAATGAAAATAACATTCAAATATACAAGAGAATAAAACGAAAAGATTATATTATGTTATTAGGGAGGGAGAAAGAGAGAGAGAGAGAGAGAGAGAGAGAGAGGGGGGGGGGGAGTTTAACGTCCACTCGACACAAACTAGGTTAATTTTAGCTATTTAAAAGATTAATACCTATGTATGGTTAATAAAGTACTCACTCTCATCTTCTGCAGCCTTTTTCAACAACTCTATGAGTGATGCCTCCTTATTATCCATGCTTGTTCTTTTGGGGTTTAATCAGCCCGATACTAAATGTTCTTTATCCCGAGCGTGATTTCTATGGGAAATAACCCCTTCCTATACAGCTAGTATTATTTCTTTAGAACATGCTAAATCAGACGTTAAAAGAAATTTCGTATCTTAAATATAGATTAACATAAATATTTGAGTCAATAGAACACAGCCCGTAATATGAAATTTATATCTTCTACTTTCATTGTATAACATATTATTAGAAACTTATAAATTCTACTTTCATTTTATAATTTATTATTAGAAACCTATAATTCGCAGGAAATTACACACCTAGAAATTTTATTTATGGACTCAAGCATAGTACGGGTCTCTTGAAAGTGTTAATGGTCTATTTTGTGGCTAATTAGGACCAGATTACATACCACTGCACTTAATCGATTAATTGCAAATAAGAAAAACAATTAATGGTTTTAGATTTCTATTATTAATCGAGGTTACATTATCATGAATAGTAATTTACTTCGTATATGTAGCTGACTTGCACCTTTACACATTAGACTAATCAATGGTGTTAACAACAGGTTTTCAATGTAATGAATACATATTTTATAACTCTTTCAGTTATCAAAGTATGTTTAAGTAACAGTTATTTCATGAAAGAATTATATTACCTTTTCATTGTGAATAGTGCCTAGATTGTTTGTTATCGTGTGTTACTAATAATATAACGCAATCTACATGTTTTACCGAGTTCAAACTCGTCCGTATTAACAGAATGTACTCACGACACTTGCCCTCCAACACCAAGACAACATTGGAAAAAGTACTTCAAGTCAGCTGACACAGTAAAATGAAGGTATGAAAGACATAAAATTTCAAGGTCATGAAAATAACACGTATTTCAACCAATCCATATAGCTTTGGCTATAGCCTACTATTCACATGCGGTGTATATTTACATAGGTGTGTATACGTAAGTAAATAGATATATCTAATGTATACTTAAGACGGGATATCACTGCCATAGTTACAACCTACAACACAGAACTCCTCTATACGGGCTTTAACGGCCTACTGTTCTGTTCCGACTGGGCTAATGAAGACGGGCATACGCCATACAGTGTGCTATGAGGGAAATTTTGCCAGGACAGCGGCGCTACGGACCACTCTCATATCGAATTCCAACTGTCAAGAGACATTTTACGTGCACGAGGCCTCGGTTTTCCGCCCCCATCTGAGAGACTAGACAGCTGTCTTTGTCAGGCCCTCCGTCTTGCACAACGGGAGCTGCCCGCGACCTCCAGGCTAGCGAGCCAGCGTCTTACCCACTTCTCCACCGTGGCTCCCAGAAAAGTAGAACGTTAACCCCATTTCATTTCATTTCAAACGAGACGGCTAATAAACTGAAGTCCCTTAAAGGCTCAATACCACTCTTGTTGTAACTGAATAATATGTCCCAATCTTTATTCTGGTCAACAAATTGTACTATTTTAGAATATTTCAATTAATTGATGATACAAATTTCATCTTAACACACCTAATTTAAAAATTGTGAAAAATTCAACATAATGGTTTGAAACGTCTCGCGTAAACCTTTTCAAATGAAACTTCGATTTAAAAATATTTTCGAACCCTTTGGACAAGTAAAATAGGATGTAATGGATAATTTACACAACAGGTAGGACACTTAAACATCTAGTACTTAGATAGAGATATTATTTATTTTCTGGAGCTTTCAAGCCAGCAAGAGTGTTATTGTCCCTTTAAAGGGACCACGAGCTACGGTGGCTCAGTGGGAATGGTACTGGCTCACTATATTTATCGAAGACAGATTGTCATCCCACAAAACAATGTTGTGAGTTGGGTCCCACAAAGTGGCTGGGAGTCATGTTGGTCCAGAGACAATGGCTGTGGCTCACTAACCTTTACGGACATGAAACTTTGATCGAGGACAGATTGTCATCCCCCAATATAACATTATGAGTCGGATATTTGAATGATAAATCACCTGATTTTTTTATTGTAGATATAAAATTATGTTATCATATTTATGCACGTACCTACCCTTTATGTAATCTACATTCTTCGACACACATGGCAGGTCAAAAACTTACTTATATAAAGATTTACACATGACTTCGCTGTAAAACATTGGCTCAACTTGGAGATATGTTAACGTTTTGTAACACAATAACTGTGGGGTGTAGTCATTATATACACTGTCCTAATTTCGCATTGAATAACTTGATATTTACATACACCTTATTCAAGATATATTTCTATAGGCGTTAGTTTATTAAGCAAATTCCACAGTACACTTGACATTGCCATCGGTGCCGGATTAAGACACATGGTTGCCTCGTTGCACTTAAAGGGCCAATCTCTATTATAAAACTCTTCCTGAGGACTGAGCAACTAACTCAATCTGGAAATGATCTGGAAATGATGACCGGTGTCCCAGACCGGTGTCCCAAGCTGTATTATACGGTGTCTAGATAAAACCAGACTTTTATTTTATAGGTGAAATTCGCCTTTCGTTATCAAGTATAAGCACGTGGATCATGCACTTTAAAGACCTCTAAAGGAACGGCAATAGATTATCAGGTCACCCAACGAAAAAATTGACCCGAAATCTTAAAAAGGTTACGTGTCTGGATAAGCGGTTTTGACGTTCACGTCCAAACGACTCAATATTTTGAGCTAAAATTTTGAGACAAGGTAAATAGATTATACCTATACTTTGACGCTTAAATTTCATACGTACACAGACCTTTATGTTTCAGACTCTGTTAAAATGGAGATGATCCCTTTAAAGAAGCATTATGCAGGAGCTTTTAGGACAATGTAATCATGCTATATGGTGATATTTTGGCTTTGATTTTTTTATAAACGATAGTTTTATTCAGTAAATAACTGAATTTGAATTAGGGAACAGGTGTCCTGTGAAAGCTCAGACTTCCCCTTATAACTTATATCAACAAATACTCGACTAAGTATGTGACTCTCCCTTCAATACCGTAATTTTATCTAGCATTGACGTCCGTAAATATGTATTTAAATGACAATATAAAAATGGGTTTGGTTGAAAGCCTTTTGTGTGGTATATTTCCGAGAATCTGACAATAGGGCCCGATATATGAGCCTACATTATGTGTAACTAATATCAAATACATAATAAAAAACCAAGCACATAAAAAAAGTCACTATCATGACCCAACTTACTGTTTACTGTTAAAAACTCGTCCAGGATTTGTTTAATACATGTCACAATTAACAAACCAAAATAAACTATCAGTCCTACTTTCGTTTTGTTTTTGTTGATGTCGCTTTTCAGTGCGTAGTAAATTTTGCATCCGATTGTTTCGATCAATTTGCCACAAATCAAAAATAACATAGCCGCGTTTATCAGGTCCTTCAAAGCAGAGAGAGATGGGGTTTAATAAAGTCCACTCGACACAGACTAGGTCATTTCGGGACTAATATATAGTTTAATCTTATTTCAATAATTCGCTTGCGTAGGGGTCTTTAGCGGCGGGAGGAAACCGGAGGACCCGGAGAAAACCCACGAGGTTGGACAGGCGATCCTACTCCTTGTCACGTTCAACCGGGGATTCGAAACCACGCCAGTTGACTCAATGACAGTTTTATGATACAGCGCGCACGTTCTAACCATTCGACCACCCAACCCCCCTCCCTCAAAGGAGAAAGCCAAGGGTTACGGAACATTTCAAACGGCCCAATATATTGAACTGAAACATTCACGTTTTATTTATTTATTTTTTGACGTTTGACATAAAAATTCAAACTTAAAAACTGGGATTTCAACATTAAAAATTTGCTGACTTTGTTTACAGGTAAGATGTACACCCGTAGTGTCCCGTTAAAATAAACTATGTGCATTCACGAGCAAAGGGGGTGTTAGCAAGCCACAGTACTTAGAAACTGTGCCAAATCACGTTACTGTTTTTATCCTCAAAGTTTTAGGGTCGCAGCAACCATTTTAATATTGTTGAACAGTGAACGCAATGGTACTTCAAATTAAAAAAGCCCTTCTACCGGGTATGACGATTTAAACAAAATATATTTTTGAGTTTAGGCAACACAGTTTTTAAAAATAACTTTCTATGGGTTTTTTTTCATGCGGCAATATCGTATATTATGTTGCTTTAATTTTCAAACCGGAGGTTCTACCGAGAGATTAGAATCCAATACACAATTCATTGTCTAAAGTCCTGCCGAGCGAAGTGATGCACAAGATTTCAAATGGCTGATTTATACTGGGAATGTGCAAGCAAGGTAACAAATTGTTTTCATTTCGAAAAATAATCTTCATGCAATTAATATCGAGTATTACTTAATATTATATGTTAGTCAACCATGAAAAATGGAATCTAACTGTTTTACATTGTGGATGCTCGACTGTCAGTCGGGTATGTTCCGAACTGATGGAATTGCAATCGTGTGACGCGGATTTCAGACCTGTCACAGTTCTGTCAGTTCTGACATCAGAGGTGGCGTGGGTATAATCGTGACGTAATAAAGCACAACGAATATGTTTCTGCTGTCATGAGTCGGCGCATACGCCCTAGCTCCAAATTCCTAATCACTCGATTGTCATTATTAATTCCGGAACGTTCCATCGAGCATCCTCATTGTAATTCTACGACGATTCATTTTTATACACCCATACTTTTAATATAGACGTACACAGCTGTCAACCCGTTGGTCCATCCGTCATTCGTAATTCTTGTTAGTACTATACAGGCCATTTGAAATTGATATGGACACAGATCACCAAATATTCCTACGCCGTCACCAAAGCTATTTTTAGTCTTCCTCTCCCTTTTCCTTTTCCCCCCTTTTGCATGCCGATTTTTGTTGTCTTTTTGGTGTAGAATCGAAGAAAAGGGTTTGAAAATACATTTTCTGCCAGGTTTTGGTGAATATTCATAATTTTGATGCGGAAGGATACAAGAGTTGAGAGGTTGGTTAGGTTGAAATGTAGGGCCTGAAATTGCATGTTTACTTGTAACGAAAATTTGGGAAAAAGTTAGAGCCGGTCTAAGATACGAGAATTAACATTGGAGTCAATGGGGAAATCTTTAGTGATCTGTGGCCATATGGGTTGTCTTATCGCATCAAAATGACAAAAGCCTTCCAGAGTTATCCCCCTTTTTATTAAATCTTGTCAGCGCTGTAAAGGCTTCAATTATGATCTGCGATCACTCGTAATGCATATTGATTGTGTATTGATTGACAGAATGATTTTCATTATTAACATCCAGAGTTAATCCCCTTTTTTTTTTACCAATTCTTGTTAGAACTTGGAGACCTGAATTACGGTCTTATCTTTCTGAAATTTAAATTGGTTATCTAACCTAATGAATGAAAGACCCCTATTGGCCTTATGTATTTTCAAACATTTTTGATAAATTACAGAGGGCACGGCTAACCATCCAATCGACCATCCATGCATTTAGTTCCACATTTCAACAACAAGCCTACTCGTCCCCGAAAGACCGCCTGCATTACATTGTATACGTAAAAGACCACAAGGCAGTTTATATTCCCTACACGATCTTATTTTGTCATTTCGGGGGCGACGGGGATGAGGGCGGCAACCCAATTATATTCCCTGCGCGTTCTTATTTTGCCATTTCGGATGGGGGTTGGGGGAACCCAATTTTATGAAACATAAGCATAAATTTCACATTATGTCATCTGAATAACATGGACATTTTCACTATTGGCGGGGATCAGGGTGACTAAGTGGGTAAGACGCTGGAGGTCGGGTGTTCGATCCCTGCATTGGCCAAGAAAGT